TTGGAACCATTGATAATTATTTTTTACGGATATGCGAATTACCTTGCAATTTGAATCACGAGATTTATTTACATTTTTTATAAAATGGTTTTATTAATATATTAGAAGAATTGTCATCAAATTTAAGGCAAAATATGTGGTTTCTACAAGATGGTAAACCATTACATTACAGTGAAAGCGGAGTGAGACAGTATTTAAATACAACTTTCCTGAACATTAGATTGTTTGTAGTAGTCATATTTTTGCGGTGAGATATTAATATAATTATTTAATTCATAAACATTTCAAAAAATTACTTATTATTATACTTATAACACTTATAATCAATACTGCAGCAATTTCTTTAGAACCAATGACTCTATTTAATATGAGACGATATATTATCGAATGTATTGACAAATGAATTAAAGAAAATGGTGGACATACTGAACATTTACTTTGACAAAAAGTTTAATTTTATTTACTTTAACTATTTCTTAATTTGGTTTATAAATAAAATGTTTTGATTATGACTTTAATTTAATACAAAACGTAAAATGTTTGATGGAAAATCCAATTAATCTGTTATTTATCAAATCATATTATTTTATTCTACTGATATATTTATTTTATTTAATAATTCATTAAATATTAACTTTATTAAAGGTATTTTATACCAAAATTCAGAAGTATTGATATTTTTCTTTAATTTTCTTTCGTTAACTGGAGTAATTGCGATAAATCAGAATTATGTAGTTGATTCCTAAAATGCAATTATCTCGAAAACTGTTGAGTTTTTAAGATATTAACAAGTATACCTTTTTTTTGTTGAAATAACGTATCTTTAATATTTTTTATTACAAATACCGGTAGCTTAAAGAGCAAAAAAGTTACGTGCAAATACATGCCACATATATGGCATATGTGGCGCCCTCTATCAGCTACATCAAAGTTTGCATCAAATTATAATTTCTGATATTTAATAGTACCCAGTTGTAAATTTTTATACATACATCTTGACAAACATAAAAGTTATAGCGAAAAATAAAATTTTAAATTTCCACTTTAACACCCTGTATCTTTCTTAATATCAACATTTTATTAAAGCAACTTGACTTAAATCGTAATATTTTAAAGTGTAGAATCTACGGTTTCTTTTTGTACAATTACTTACGGACCACCTTGTATATATATATATATATATATATATATATATATATATATATATATATACATATATATATATATATATACATATATATATATATATACATATATATATACATTATATATATATGTATATATATATATATATATATATATATATATATAATATATATATATATATATATATATATATGACAATATATACATGTGTGACAACATGTACTTGTTTATGTAAATAAATCAAGAAATATAAGGACCTTGTATCGTATGTATATATTTACGTCTAGTTATATAGACTTGCTCACTATAATTTAAAAAAATGCTAAAAATCAACGTTTGTCAATATACTTAAATTTAATATATCAGATTTATGTAATTGTAGACGATGGTGTGAGATGTCAACACTGCAATAAGTTTTACAAGTATAAAAGAAACCTTTGGAGGCACCAAAAATATGAATGTGGAATTGGAGTAAAGAATTTCACTTGTCCTATTTGTCAGAGAGCCTTCACGTACCGAAGTCGTCTACGCGCCCACTTAATGGTTGTACACGAACAGATTGATTCTATGTAAATAAAATAAAATATTTTATTAAATAAAGGTAATAATCCATATTGTTTTAATTATTTCAGCCAGTTTATCTTTCTCTTATATTGAAATTAGACCTTGATGTAATAATCCATAGTTCGATATCTTGGGCGTTACCATGGTTCCCACTAGAAAAAGAGCACTTTTATTCCTATGTCTATTTACTTATTTATGTACGGGTTATCCCATTGTCTGTATTTATTTAGCTTATTAAAAGTAGTGATGTAAATTCGGCAGGTATTATAACTTGGAATAAGTACTTAGGGTAAGTACCCAGCGAATTACCCAAAAGTCATTGAAAGCCCGGTTATTTATGAATTATGAGACAGAAAAACATTTTTGATTCTTTTGATTACTTACTTAAAATTTGTAACGTCTTAATCTTATTAAGACCAGGCCGTTAAGCATTACCACTCTGCTGGAAGAAACGAGGGGAGAAATTCTTCGAGTATCCCTAAGGATATTCAAGAGAAAAACGCCCAACGTTCCATCCATCAGGATGGTGCTCTGCTAGACTGCTCAGCCCTGTGAAACCCCATGTGAAACAAAAATAAATTTTTAAACTGAGACTCAAAAGATTCTGCCGGTTTCCGGTATAAAATAATTAAATATAAAAAAGTACTCAGCTTTAGTTCGTTCTGCAGGAGTCGTTCAGTTCTCCAGGAAGGGCTCCGATTTTTGTGGAAGTTATCTGCTGTCGGTGTTGGTTGGGTTAAGGGGGGTTGTTGGTCTAGATTATAGCAATCATTTTTGTCCTCAGGTTGATAAATGGGTTTTAAATTATATTCTGATGCATCAGTGGATTTAAGCTAGTATAGGTGGTTGTTAATTGTTTCCCCAAGGTAGTGTGGTTGATAGTTCTTTGCTCCACACGGTAGTGTGGTAGCCTATTGCTTGCTCCTCACAGTAGTAGCTGTGTATATGGCTAAGACACTAACCAATTTGTGTGACTATAGTTTCATTGTACAATGATTGTAGTGATGATGATTGAAAAGAGAGCGAATAAAGATTGGTATCGGCTTATATAGGATGGAACGGCTACTAAAAATATTTATAATTTAGTCAGGTCGCTTTGGAATAATATAGTACAGAGGACAAGTACTAGGCAGAGCTTGGTGTCACGTTTAATTGGTTGATTGAAACGTTACAAATTACTTAATAATTTAATTAAAATATCAACTATGTATGTATATATCTAACTAAATAAGATTGCATATTGCTGATGGCAATTGGTACACTAATGTTGAGAAGCATTAAGTCAAGATATATTTAGGGGAAATAAGAAAAAACGACCCTGTTCGGTTTGTAAATCCATGTATCCATAATATAGACATACTATATACTACCTACTAAAATCATTACAAAACTTTATCTTTTAAAAACCAAAAAGCTTTAAAATCTTTGCAAGAAGTTGTAAAATTAATTTGTTGCTTTGGAAACTGCAAAGTAAGGCAAAAACGTTAATTGTTTATAAATATTGTAAAAAATCAACCTATATTTGTTATTGTGCTCAAAGTTCGGTATTTCGTCCTGAAAAAACCCTCACAAATTAAATTTAAGAACGATCAATCAGTTAGTTTAAAAGGTTCTCTGTTTGTTTATCCCAAAGACTCTTATTTGTAATAACATTAGTTAGAAAATAATAAAGATATAGTAATTATGCGCATACCAAATGAAATTTTCAGACTTAAACTGTTGATTGAAATAATATCCAATCTTTCAATCAACGGTTAAACTACCGTAATACCTAACTTTGGAAGCAATAACAAATATCTGGGTTGCCTTTTAAAATAACTATTATAAACAATGATTTTGCCTTATTGTGCAGTTTTCGTAGCAACAAATTAATTTTACAAATTTTAGCAATAAATGCATCGATATGGGGAATCTAAAATTGTATTTCACGTCATATCGATTCATCTAAGCAAGAACTTTTTATGAACTTGCTTCTAATACACCAAATACGATGAATTTAGGATATACTATTTTAATGGGAATAAGCCACAATTGAAATTTAAAAAAAGTTTATTGACATTTCAATTTCCACTTAGGAAATTGTTCTCAAAATACAAACATTAATACGTTAAACAAATTTGTTTTATGTTTATTGTGTTTTTTGTTACTTGGTGAAAAATTCTTTTAAAAATCTAATTTGATCTTACTCATTTATATTGACAAAAGTTGCGTTGCGTTTCTGGGAGGACTTTATTATAGAATAGTTCATTCGATTACATGAAATCAACTTTATCTTGAGAATATCCGTTAGAAAAAATCATAGCGTGTGATTCGTCTTTATAAAGACAACGACATGCCATGATGACAGTGAAATTTTCCTGTTAGTGATTCCATAGTAAATCATGAGAAAAAACCAGGAAAATAATTCTGATTTTATATGTATGTTATTTAAAAAACATAAATGATGTATCGTCGATATGTTACTGACTTACTTATAGTGGTATTTTCCTTTTATTTCTCTTCCTCTTTTAATGTGGGTAACCAGATCCTACAGCATTCTGCCGAGGAATTTGCGACACAATTGGTCTCATTTAGCACAATTTAAGATACCCCAAGAAAATAGCTTCAGAACAATATTAAGCCTTGAATAACTAAAAAAAATCACAGTTCCAAGAGAAATCTTATTACCATGAGCTAATATAGGTTTCGAGTCTGATCGAGACATTCGTTTTAAACGGGATTAAACCATAATTGATTATATTTTACATTTTTTATTTTAATGTTTTAATTTCCAATCTGAAAACCGTTATCAAAATACCTTTTTGATATTATTGTAAAGATCTTTGTTTTGTAATGTTTTTTGAAAAATATTTTCGGAATGGAAATTTTTACATCAAAACAATTGTAAATGTTAATAAGCTTAAAGGGTTTTATTTATTAATAAATGATTTTGTATAGGTACATAAATTTAATTTTTTTAAACTTTTTTTTACCATAGGTCCTTAGTATAGTTCTTAACCAAAAAAATAAGCCCGGGATTAATGAGATATTTTTTTTATTTAGTTTACTTTGCCAATAAATTAAAAGGATTTTTATTCAATATTTGTCGGTAATGTGTGCATTAATATATGCATCCAAATATCGGATTTGTATAAATTCTTATCCTGGTGCTGGGTTTTAAGTCACCTTAATCCATTTTCAGGGGCAGGTGAACTTTTTCTTCTTTAATTCTTTTTTAACCTAAGAACTTGGACTAATGGTACAGGACCAATATTTAATTTTGGAAATATTTTGACTAACTTTTTTTTTAGGAAAATCCAAAATAAGCGACGAAAGCAAATGGCCGTCTCACTTGGTTCTTCCTATGATGATTTTGAGAGAAAATTTGACGCTGGGTGTCAAAGAGCCGAAACTGGAACCACCAGAAATTCACTATGCTCCCATGATAGAAGAAAAGACATATGCTTGTTCTGATTGTGGCAAAACTTATAAGGTCAAAAGTTCTCTCAGCAATCACAAAAAGTGGGAGTGTGGAAAAGAACCTAGGTTTAAGTGCCCTTATTGTGAATACAAGGCTAAGCAAAAAGTTCATTTAATTAGACATCTAAGAAAGTTACATAAAGTTTTTTCTATTGATTCAGAACTTAATAAAAGGATCTTGAATAATTGTTCAAATGACGGTGACACTGTTGATAGTGTCGATTTAGATCAAAAAAGTGAAACGAGTGCTTCCTAATATAAGAATATTAATTTACTAAAGAAATCGCCAAGATATTAAACTTATTTTTATGTATTTCATACAAAAAAATAACTTTCCATGTATGAAATTTAACAAATATTTGATGTATGGTATATACACTATCTACAGGGTTACGCAATTGAACTGTTACCAACTTCACATCGATATATCTGGCAAATCGATAATGACAGCTACATCAAAGTTGGCCGGATAACACTTCAGTATGTTTATAAGTCGTCAAAATCATTTGCAATTAAGTTTTATACATACAACAAAAGTTATTCGCAATGGAATTTAAACGTAATAGTGTAATTGCCTTATAATTGACTGGAAAATCACAACCAGCTATTGTTCGTCAGCTCAAACACCTCAAAGTGAATAAAATGTTTGTGTATCGCACCATAACTCGTTATAATGATACTGGTAGCATTGCTAAACGCTACGGTGGTGGACGAAAAAACAACAGCAACGAAGAGAAACCAGAAGCATGCAACGAATATTGAAAAAGGAGCTCAAAAGTCTTACAAGTTCCAAAAAGTACACAATCTTACACCAAAGCAAAAAAAAGTTCGACTTGAAAGAGCAAAGGAGTTGTTACGCCTGCACGAACGTGGCGAATTTCTGAACATAGTGTTCTCTGATGAGAAAAATTTCCCTATTGAGCAGTTCATAAACTCTCAAAATGATCGTGTTTACTTGACCGAACGCACCTAAGAAAGTTTCAGCTTACGAACGGCCACCCGAAGTAATTTCCCATCTCAAGTGGGTCATGGTATGGTATGGGCAGCTTTAACCGCCTATCATCATCATCAATCAGCCAATCGCGTCCACTGCTGGACATAGGCCTACCTCAGTTCTTTCCTAACCGCCTATGGACGCTCTCACGTTTTTATTGAATCTGGTGTCAAAGAAAATGCAACTTATTATCGGAAAAATGTTTTGGAAGCTGCTTTAGAGCCGTTTACACCCAAATATTTCAGTTGTAGACCATGGACGTTCCAATAAGACTCAGCACCGTCTCATAAAGCTGGTGTGAAGCAAGAATGATTAAAAAACCATGTTTCACACTTCATTTCATTCACACAATGTCTTTCGAATTCGCCAAACGAAAATCCTAGGGGACTATTCCATCTGGTCCATTTTTAAAGCAAGGTGAGGACTAAAAAATATGGCAGTATGGATGCGTTGAATAAAGCGATTATACGTGAATGGGCCAAAATATCGGAAGATCATATTCGTGCAGCATGCAACTCGTTTTTTAATCGTTTGAAGGTCATAGTCAAGGCACAAGGTGACCACATCGTGCTAAAGTGAGTGGATTCTGAAATTTTGATTGTTTTCATACATTTTTGTCATGTGAATCAATAAAAAATAATTTCACACAAAAAAATATGGTCGTTTAAATAGGTAACAGTTCAATTGCGTAACCCTGTATACACACTATCATTGACTTCATTTTCAGCTAGACTGAATGATTATTGATTGTGTTTGTCGGGCATGAATTATTCTCAATGGTACCAGTTTTTTCTATACTTTTTAGAAGTGAACTTTGAGTGTTACTACCCAAATTGCTGTTAATCTGTTATTTATATAAATTTCTTAGAGTTTTCAACTGCAGAATATTCCATTATATCTTTGTAATTAGCATTCCTCGTAACTCCAAAACAACAACCTTAACAGTACTGAGTTTAAACATCATTTTTTGAAAACTGTTTTTGAAAAAATAGTGCACATCTATGTCCTTCTAAATGTATTATGTTTCGACACCTTTTTTTAAGGTGAGTCGTAGTTGATCGTCTATCAACTAAACTCACCTCCTTTTTCTCCAACCGACGGGCCTGAGACCGCTCTTAGTAACCATATGTCCCGTCAGCTTTACTCATAACTCCCATCTGTCGCTCTCCGTCTGCGCTCCGTGATTAGCATGGCATCCCAGTCCCGCCACCTTCGCACATCTTCACCAAACTTGGTTTGTAAGGTAACCATCCTTGTGCAGAGCTATAGGCAGGAAGGAGCAAACGTTCAATGATCTTGAATTTAACGAGAAAGATCAGACAACAGGTACAAGCAACTCTAGATATTCCACCTCCAGGGGGTAGTCCATTCATCCCTCCATCTACACCAGCTCATTACTTGGTAATAGGGTGCTCCAAAAGGAGACACACACCGTACATTAGATACAAGTAGAAACAAAACAAAATGTTTTTAAATTGATTTCTGTAATGCAGTCATGTTCTTTAAGAATTTATTTAAGATTTCGGCCTCAGTAGTGGAAGCTGAATAGTGGCTCACTCGACTGACGCCGACAGATACGACATATTAAAATAAACAGTTCACCTTTGTTGCAGTCTTTCTCTTCCTTGTGTTCTATGGTTTCTGTCACAAAACCAATGATCAAGTTAAAAATTCTTTTAATTATCTTTCAATTATTTTTTTCAATTGTTTTATTCATTAGTTCAATGGCTTGCCTAGAGGTAACCCCAGGCTCAGCTGCAGCAAAGTTTGCCCCACATTGTATGCAGGGCATATGAAACCCACATGATACGCGTCATCAACCACTCCATACTCGGGACACAGATCGTCTTAGGTCTTCTTTATTCTATTTGTATAATACCGAAAAGATCCATGCCCCGTCATAAATTGGGTGAAGTAGTAGTTGACACGTTTGTGTTTACACTCATACCACCTTACTACATCTGAGATAAGGGCCCACGTCCAGACAGCTTTGTCTGTTTATCTTGACCATTGGTCCTGCCAGATCTCCAAACTCCGTTTTCTTTCTTGTATTCCTGAACCTAAAGCTCCGTTTTCCGTTTGGTGCATCTGAACCCTTTCATTGGCCAGGCTATGCACCGGGAAGCACAAACCACTACTTGTAAGACATAGGTTGATACGGTCATGTACGTGCTGCATACCCTGATCAATGGTTTCCTCTGTGTCCTAAGAAACATGTCTTTATATTTCGCTTTGTTGAGGATATCATGCCACACTGGGGCCCCATATAGTAAGATTTACATGATTGATTGTAGGATAACTGATCTTTTGTGTAACTCGGGCCTTCAATATTCGGCATTATCTTATTAAGGGTCGAGGTTCTCTCTTCCGCCTTTTGACATGCCTCTTTTATGCGGTGTCTAAAAGTCATTTTGTCTAATATGATTCTTAAGTATTTAACGGTCTTCTGTATGTTGTGTTGCGTTTCGAGACCTAATAAATACTCATTTGAAGTTACAAATATTTACTATATCTTTGTTGGAGATACGAGTTTTTCTACCTTATGTGATGAAACTAGAAGTCAAAAATTAAACTAGTTATAACGTAATTATTTTTTTATGTTTATTCTTATATATTTATATAGTAAAGCACAGAAACTATTTAGGTATATACTTATAACATATTAAAACTAGTGCATCTTAGGGAATATTATCATAAAATTCCTGATAGTCCATGTTTGTAACTGATTTTTTATTCTAGCTTCTTCTTTCCTTAATATATCGGCTTCATAATCTCTTGCATCAAATTTTCGACAATTGTAAGACTGCCATTTGTCACAAAGCTCGTTGGCCTTAAACGAACCTAAATTTAAGTCTCTAAACTTTGAGATATTGCATTAACATTATTCTTTGGACACCAGTCCTTTACATAGAACAAGTAAAGTTGTCTTTTAGAGTTACAATATTTAAATTATTATTCTTCCCCGTCCTTATCTTCATTTATTAAGTTCAAAGCGGTCCACTCGCCAATTAATAAAGTCTTTTGTTGCAAACTCGATGTTGCAAACAGATGTCCTTTAATTCAAATGATATTAATGGGACTAGTTCCTGCTGCTTATACACTTTCTTTTCTATGTCTAGCTCTGTCTGTTGGAATCTTTTTGTTAGGAAATCTGACATACAACTTCCTGGGCTCCCATTTATGTTTCCAAAACTCATTTAAAATTTCTTTGTCTATCGTCTTCATTTAATACTGCACATTATACTTTGCTGTTGTTTTTATTTTTGCAAGTACATCATGACTTAATTACACTTTATTTTGTTTTGACATCATACTTTCAGCTTTCTTCTGTTTTCTTCTTTCATTTGTATCGCTTTCCTAGTTTTCTAGCTTCTTTTGATTTAAAAATTTGTTAGGTACATGTTTTCCCTTGGTGTCTCTTTGTTTGTTTTCTTTTCTAATATATTGAATTATACTCATCACTGTATTGCATCAGTAACAATATTGGCAGTAAGTTTGTTTACATGTTGAGGTTGACTAGCTTTTGGATTGATTTGTTATTAACCCCATTATTTGACAAATTATCATTTAACTTTTGCACATCTGGTTCTACAGACAAAAATCTGAATGTGCGGGTGAAATACATGTACAAAAATACATTTTTTTGGATCTGCAGTTTTTTTAACTACTTCTGGTAATATATCATCTTGATTACTAGTAGAAATCCATAGCAAAATAACTTTTTTATTTGATGATAAATTATTTTAGTGTGAAATGCTAACAAATTATTGTATATCCTTTTAAAGTAATATTTTCCCCTCTTAAAGACATTCTAAGAAAAACCTTTCCTTTAAAAATGTTTTTTATATTCATTAATTCATTAACAGAATTATTTGCTTACAAAAATATAGGTATCTTACCAGCTAGTTTAGCATTTCAAGATTTGCCCATTTCTTTCTATTAGATAATTAGCCTACTCCTACCTAGAAATACTCATAAGTTCGCCAACCTAACAAAATGCAGAAAGTAACTAACCGTTTCAAAAAATCAAGTCATTTATTCATGTTATTAAAGCTAGAATTACTATTTTATAGTTTGTTACTTACTTAAAAGAAAGTATACGACATAGAGTCTCGGTAGTTGTTTAAACGAAGTGGAGAAGTTTTCTATAATATTCGTTATAAACTTAACATTATAGGCTGAAATACATGAGTATTTCTTAAACTGAAAGAAAATAATTTTTGTACAATTTGGTACAATAAAGTCACGTGTAAAAAAATGGA